ACTATACCGTCGGGGTTTGTAACCGTTAGATTAACTATCTACGACGATTACATGATGATCTAACGGTTAAATATCTCGACGAATGGTTTCATAACGAAACTGTAGCATTTCCAAGGTATATAATAATGGTCTAATGATTTCCTTACATGAAAAGTTTTACCATATGAAATTTATCATGTATTCCTATGCTATCCCACATGAAAAATGAGTGTTCGTGAATTTGTTCACATACAAACCGAAGATAATGAAAAATTATATAAGAAAAATACGCCGTTCATCTACAAATTCTCATTTATTTGCTAATTTATGAAGTGTTTAAGTGTAAACTAATTTTTCGTTTATTTGATTGTGATTCATTTTTATGATTAATTTTTAAGTTGCATTAATTTTTTTTTTTTTTAAATTTCCGACTCATTTATAAATGGTTTCTATGGTTTAGTTTTGAACTTTGGACTTCATCTTTTGTAAAAGTTTCTGAAGAACACATAAATCTGTAAAGAGTCCAAAATACATACATATTACTGTGTGTTGACTTGATAATACATGTTATTTGGGCTCCCTTCACGTTATGAACTAACCCTTTAATAAAATAAAGGCCCTAAAATAGCACGATTGCGTACAATAATTAGCCCAATTTAGTTTGATTATTGGGCTACTCAAAACGAGGAGTTGGAGGCAATCAAACTTATGACTGGATTAATTAGTAGCTCTTGTGAGGCCCTACTCATACACTGTTTGCGAATACAACCTGTAGAAATTTGAGCTCGGATTGTTCAATTATTTAAATGATCCAAGTGAACAATTTAAATGAGCCAAGCTCAAAAAACTAATCGAGCTCGTCGGCAAACAGTTCATTTATTTTATTATTATCTTTAGAAATATCGAACAACCGACCGAGTTGAATATCTTCGTGTTCCTAAACCAATCGTTCATGATTTTATGTAAGGAAAACGACTTGAGTCAAACTTTTACAAGCTAAACTCGAGTCAAGCCATCTCACTTATTAGACGAACACTAGTTCAAATATAAAATGTTCGGCTCGACTCGACTCGAGTCGAATGACGCATTTAGGTTGTGTTTGTTAACAAGCACTCAAAGCAAATAAATTCTACTCAAAAAATCTAACTCTAACTTTAATTCAACCCCACCTTCCTCAATATTATTAATACAATTAAATAATAACAACCAATCATTTTTACACATCAGATCAATTTTAATTCACTATTCATTCACTCACATAATTTTAACTAACCATCATATCATATCATATATCTCCTACTTTTACATCAAACTAATTTTAATTATTTTATTTTCAATATTATTTTAATATAAACTCAAAATCTCACTAACAACTAATTACACAATTTTTTTCTAAATTAACCTTAATTAACTCAAAAAAATTCACTTTAAGTTAATCCACTCAAATTATTCCTTTTAACTTTGTGTAAATATGCATGTGTGTATGTAAGTGTCATGTTAGATAAGCCTCTCTAAGCATAGATGGGGGACCTCAGATGCCATAGACAAAGAAGGACAATGCATGATACAAGGGTCATGATGCATGTCCCATAAAGGGGTGCCCCCATCTCAATCAACTTGAGTTTTCACATAGATTTCTCTCTCTCTCTCTC